CAAATATTGAACCATCTCATAGCCCATCACTTCTCTTATTTGCTTTCAATTCTGCTTGACTCATTCTATCTCCTCCTTTATGTCAAGGATGACTTCTATTTATCTCTTATCTGATAATTGATTAGTTCAATTTATATTTGAAAACATTTTGTTTTGACATGATCTCCTCATCTTTTAGAAAGTGTTAGAGTAGGAGTGACCATTAGTCACGGTTGGAAATATGGACCATGATAAATAATGTTGACATTAAAATGAGGAGAAGTTCAGCTGAAATTTTAGAATTACAGTTTGTACTATTTGGAGATGCTGTGATTAATGACACTTCTTTGATTTGATTTTATATATTTGGGTATCAAAAGATAATGGTGGATTCCGAGAAAGTAGTGGGGTAGGAGGCACCAGGAGTCTGTCTTCATATCTAGACGACTGCACAGGAAGAATCTATTCACTAAAGATATTTAAGAACTCTGAGTTGATTGAAAGCTTGTAATTTCTAGGAGAAGGAAAGCTGGATGGAAATTATGGTTAATTTTGGTCAATTTTAGCTCTTTTCATAGTAGCCACTGCCTGTGTCTGCCAGCTGTGCACTTACTCCTTGCAGGAGCCAGGAAACCAAAAAAAACATTTTCCTCCAAATATCAGCAATTTATGTAGTAGTCATTAATTTCTTCTGGCCGCAGTGACACAGACAGAGAGGTCGGTAGTCATTGATGTCACCCTCCCTTGCCTTGTTGCAAGTCCCTCTTCTAGCTGAAGTGGCTACTAGACAATGTGAAGAATTGGTGAATATTTTAATGCCTGTAATTAAAATAAAATTACATTGCTTTCTTCTTCCCTTTCATCTTCCACTTCCTCCTAGATAACTTTCCTGGAAACTGCTCCATGCTCCCCACCCTCAAACCGATATCCTCATTTAATTTGATTATCATTATTGCGTATATGTGTGCATGTGCTCGTGTACATGTGTATGCACACACACACACACACACAAAATTTATATAAATATATCCTGCTGACTCAGTTTTTAGGTTTTGTGTGTAAATGATTTCAAGGCTGACCACTCTGCACTGGCTCAGGAAACATAAAAAGGGGTGCACTGAGGGGATATTAGATCCAGAATACCTAAAAGTTAAGCTGTCTCTTTAGCAATGGCCACATGGCCAAACCTGGATCAACCCAATATTCATAGACATGTCACATTAAAGGAAGAAAAATTTTCAGGGTCCCACATCTAAACAAAGAACAGCAGGCAACTAATAAGTAGCTACAAGGAGAATTAGCCCCTCCCAGAGGCTTACTGGATTTTCTTATTTTTAGTGGCCTTCATGTCTTTATTCTTTCTCTTTCCTCTTTTGAGATGCAGATAATCAATGACTAGAACACTCAAAAGCATCTCCATAAATAGAATAAACTTTAAAAGGCCACACATGTGCAGGGAAAGGAGCAGGCTTGGGATGTTCTTAAGATTACACTAAGGCTGCTCTTACAAACAGTCCAAGAAAGAATAAAACTGACAGTGCAAACTCTGGAAAGTGAAAGAACCTGATTTCCAGTTTACCATGTAATTATATTCAAAATTCCTGTTTCCAATAAGTAGAATGAAAATCATACGAAGAAACATGGAAGTGTGGCCCACTCAAAAAGAAGAAAAAGCACAACTCTCAGCAAAAACTCCCTGAAAAGGACCTTCTGCCAACACAACTGAACAGTCTTTAAAGCAACTTTTTAACAAATAGTTTCTTTAGGGGGGAGACAGAAAATTTGTAACCACTTAAAGTAGGGAAGCCTTATTTTTCTATTTATTGTCTCACACTTCTATCCATGTATGTGATGTATTCCAATCACATCCATGCCTCCATCTTCTCTTGTGACCCCCAACCCCACCAAGTCCTCATCTGCTTTTGTTTCATTTGCTTTGTTTACCATTTTGCTTTGAGTTCCACTTAGTTTAATCAGGTGGGCATAGGTGTGAAGCTATTCATTGGAACATGAGTAACAAGGCTACATGACTGAAGACAGTGACTTCCTCTCATCTCGTAGCCTTCCACTGTCATTTGCTACCCTGAGCATGGTTCCTTAGGCACCTCATGAAATCGTGACTGAAAGGTGGCAATCTCAGTTCTGTACGGGCTTATGAAGGCTATTGCAGATGTTCTGAGTTTATGAGGGCTATCCTCTTCTCTATCGCTGACAATCCCCGCCCTCTCTTTCATAAAGTTCCCTGAGCCTTAAAGTGATAAGTATGGCTAATCATGGAACCATCACTTGTTCTCAAAACCTTCCCTAACCATAAGTCGCTGCTTTGATAATCACTTACTTCAAAAAAAAATTAGATTCTTTGACCAAAGCTGAAAGCAGCACTAGTCAATGGGTGTAAACATAAATAAGAGGAAGTTTGACAACATTTCCATTGATCAAAATGAAAGCCGTTAATTGCATCAATCATGCTTATGGCCTCTCTAGTCATGGAACCTTGACTCGGTTCCACCATACCAAGCATGAACTTTCTTACCAGGAAAATCATTTCACTATTGCTGCAGTAATTACTTCTTATCTGGCAACCTAAAAAAAAATGAACGAAATAAGGATGAGGATAAAGGTAAGAAGACTGTATGAATATCAAAGAAGATAAAAAGTCTTAAAAGGAAGCAAAAGATATTTCTGGAGCTGAACTATAGATAACTTAAATGGAAAACTCAATGGAGTGATTCACAGACTAGAGCAGAAGAGTGAAGAAACTTTAAGATAGTTTATAGAGAGGCTCATTGACACTTTAGGCAAAATTGCTCACATCTTCTCAGATTCAAAACCTCCGATTAAACTGCAGTAAAACAAATTAGGGTAAATCCTGGATTGCAGTTTCAATAAAGGCAACTGGTCAACCAACACCAAGTATCGTGGGGCCCTCAGGAACCTTGGCCTGAAGCTTTCCAACCAAGCAGGAAGGATGTATGTGGACACTTGATTAGTAGGCCCTTGGAAATTCCCAAATCCAAATCAGCCTTCTGTTTTTTCTGTGACCATAATGAATGATTGTAGTTTCTGGGAAAAGAGAATGGTAAGGGATGGGCCAGTACAATGTAGCATGTATACTATTTTTCTAATTACAGTGTCTATATGAACAACATTAAATATTAAGATGTGAATTCTTATTCTGGTCTAAGACTGGTCTGAAATGATTATAATTTTAGATGCTTGCAGAATTCTAGGTAATGTTGCTCAGTTGGTCCATGAATCACATTATAAACAGCAAAAGTAGAATGGAAAAGGTCTAGCCTCACAAGGCCAAGTAATTTAATTCCTATCAGCTTACTTTCTCTACTGGAAAATGGTACAGCTATTAGGATTATGTGAAGATTAAATAGAATAATAGATGATACTTGCTTACAAAGTGTAATAACATAATAAAATAAAGGCAGAAAAATCTACCACACTTCTTAAGCTTCCATTTCTGCCAGTACTTTTGGTAGCCAATCAGATAGGTCATACAAACAAGACAACAAATTGGCCATTTCCACTGGATTATAAAGTTAATAGTGTTCCTGTCTGGGTACATTTCACCTTCTTAGAGACAAACCAAGTCTGCACCAGTAAACATACTTTATTTCACTTCTATGTATAGCTGAATATCTCACAGTAAGATGCCTCTAATTTATAGGAGAACATTATTATATTGTCTTAGATGTCGAAGCCTTGTTCCTTAAATTAGCTTTACTTCCACAGTACATTGCTCAAGTGCCAGTATGACTTTTAGTCTAGACCAGTTTTGTTTCCTATATAAATATTTTTTTTAGTGTTCACAATCCCTGACATTGAAGTCAAGCAGCATGTGGTATCAGGTGATAGCAGGCTACAGTTAACCATTTTTTTTTCTTTTTGGTTTTTATGAGACAGGGTTTCTCTGTATTGTTTTGGAGGCTATCGGTCCAGCCCGGCCTCGAACTCACAGCGATCCGCCTGCCTCTGCCTCCCGAGTGCTGGGATTAAAGGCATGCGCCACCACCGCCCGGCCAGTTAACCATCTTAATAGTGACTACAGTTTTTCTAACACCATCACCTTCATTTTTGCTATCATCACCACTGTCATCTTTTTCATCACCATCACCATTATCATCAAGATTAAAACATAATTTCATTTGACTCAATTTAAGACAAACTTGGGAGTGTCTGCATTGTGTGAGACATTGCAATTCCACCTTGGTAATTACTTGTTGGTGGACCAAACCATGTGAAAAATCTAAGGGGGTTTGACAACTAGACACTAGAGATACATTAGCAAATTCTTCATAGTTTGATCCTGAGCATAAAGGAGATTATTAGCAGCAGTTTAACTCAGTGACTGAACCAAATACAACTCTCAAAGGGGGGGTTTGCACTAAGAAACAAAGAAGGGGAGAATGAGAGATAAAAGTTGCAGTGCCTCCCCATATTACATACATAAGATGGTGGTTAGGAAAGAAAAGCAATGTTGACCATGAGCAACAAGGAGATCTCCACACACATACTACTAGATTCTTATCAAGCTGGGACATTATCTGAAATTAAAATCATACCTGACACATGAGGCCCTAGGCTTTCCTGCCTGAGACCTTATGCAATAAGGCTGATGGAGAAGGCTAAAATTCCATTTTTTTTTCTTTCTGGAAGGTAAGAGGTCTTCCACATAACATGTCCTTTAGAGAAAAATCTTCTGAGGACAGCTCTCTCGGTCAGAAAGGTATGCACAGGGACTTTTGCTATGGAGAACTCAAGTGTCTAGACCAGAGTAAATGTCACTACCCTTGTCTCCAAATCTCTCTTAAAGCTAGAATGGTGGCTAATGATTATTTTTTGTGGCACCATGCCAGTTACTCCTACATATCTCACTCAAGCTTTTGAAAGCTTACAATAACCAGGAATGACTACTTCAATGTTACAAATAAGTTATACATTTCAAATGATGCATGCATTTTTTAAATGAACAAACTTTAAAGTAAAACTCAAGTCCTTTTATTGTGGCTCAGTATCTTGTTTTATTTACAAAATAGAGTTGATAATCTTATATTTAATGGACCATTTAATAAATAATTGACTAGTTGAGCTGGGGATATAACTTGGTAGAGTACTTGCTAGCATGTACAAAGCCCTGGAGTCAATCCTCAACTTGCACAAAACCATGCACGGTGAGACATGCCAGTCATTCTAGCATCCAGAAGTCCAAGGCTTTCCTCCACCAAATAGCAAGTTCAAAGTCAATCTTGAATACAAGATATCCTGTCTCAAAAAAAAAATAAAAACAGATAGTTGAGGCTGGGTAGACCACAGAGTCACTCTATCAGTTGCTCAACTTTCCAATTCCATTAGGGAACAAACTTAGATAACACATAAATAAAGGGATGTTGGTATGGTCCTATTGTGTATTATTTTGTTATCACAAATTTTTTTAGAATCTTACCTTTTGTAGGAGTGATAAATATAAAGAAAAGACAAAAGAACATTGATCATCTCTCTGTGACACATAATACCTTGCTATTCAGGCCTGATTTAAAATCTTCAATCCCACACTCATAATCCATGCATCTGACATGTGCAACATCAATTATTGACTCTACTGTATTTTTACATTTAGACCCACACATAAAAATAGAAAATGGATCATTTGCTCTTTAGAGTCTTGGTATGGTCTGTTCATTAACTTGAAGTCTTCTATTACATGAATAGAAAATTTGAGAACCATTGGGTTAAACAGGAGATTCAAATTTGCTTTCACCTTTTCAGAAAAAAAATAATGCAGACGTGTTGCTTGTTTGTTTGTTTCTATTGGGCAGTTTTCCTCTCAACCTTCTTTAAAGACAAGGAACAAAGTATTAGCTTGTAACTCAAGGGAAGTATTTATGCCATGGACCCAAGGAGTATGTACTTGATAAAAGAGACTGGAGATAAATGGCTAGTTAGCCAGCCTATTAGACTTTATCAAACACCATACACTGTGAGTGAGCCTCTGAGAAATTCTGGCTCTCCTTTGATTCACAATCAATACCTCTAGCAAGGACTTAGGGTACAGATAATCTCATTGTGGGTTAAGGGGAAACTCACAGAATCTGGCCACTATGTCATACAGATAAAGAATTGCCAATATTCTGCAAACACTTAATGCATCGTCCACTTTACACCCAGTGAAATGGCAGCTAGAATTGTAAAAACATAATGGAAAGCCTTGATTTGGCATGTCAAACATAGTCTCCTGTGCATAGTGCTGAATACCAAAATCAAGAAAGAAACCAGGTGTAAGAAGCAGAACAGTAGCAGTATGGATGAAGATTTAAGCAGTGTGGATGAAGATTTAAGAAGTCACATACCATTGTTGATGGAGTTTGTGCCCAGTTTCAATGTTTTCATACAAAAATAGACCAGCATCGCCCTAAAGGCCAATACAGAAAGTCAATGTATTTGTTGGAAATAACCATTAATATTCAAGACTAGCCTTTTATTATTATTTTTTAAAGTATTTACCCTGTGGGTATGTCTTTACCACATGTATACAGTGCCCACAGAGGCCATAAAATAGCATTTAGTCACTGGGAAGTGGAGTTAAAAACGGTTGTGAGCTGCTATGCATGTTCTGGGAATTAAATCCAAGTCCTCTGAAAGAGCAGCAAGTGCTCTTAACCACTGAGCCATTTTCTCCAGCCCTATATTCAAGGACCTTAACAAGTTAAATCATCAAATTCTAGAAATTTTGGTAGTAATTTAGTTCACTATCTGCAGTGGCATCTTGAACACCTGAGGCCATGCCCATAAGGTGTGGCCACCACCTCAAATTCACCGGCAAAACAAGATGCCTCTACAACTATAAGTATGTGCTAATATCTTAGTCAACTTCTCAGAAATCCAAGTATTTGGTCATTCATTCACAGATTCATATATGTATGTTTTTATTCATTTATGCATACAAGCATTCATCTATTCCTGGGTTAATTTGCATAGTGGCCTCCCAAGATGTATTTGAATGCATAAGTACAGGAATTCATTTATTCATCCATGCACGAAGTTATTTATTCATGCATCCATGAAACTTTGATTCACTCCTTCAATCACAAATTCTTAAAAGTACTCATTAATCTGTGCAGAAAATTGCCTTTTAAAACTTACCATACAAAAAGCATTGGATTAATCTGTGTGTAGAATGAATATTATTCCCTGTACGAACAGACTGCACACATAGGAGGAAAAGAAAGATAAAACATGACTTTCAAAATACTAAATATTATACCAGTACCAAACATGTGTTGCATGCAAAGTTTGGGAGAACTTTGGTTTAAGTCCCCTTGAAGTAGACATGTGAAACACATCACTCAAGAGAACATAGTCTTCAAGTTGATATCTAGTAAGTAGATAAAAGTTGGGAACCAGGAGTGTGCTGGCTAATTTTATGTCAACTTGACACAAGTTATAGTCATATGGGAAAAAGAAACTTCGATTGAGGAAAGTTTGGCCCATGGGCAAGCTTGTGCTACATTTTCTTGATGATTGATGTATGAGAGACCAAATCATTGTGGGAGATGCTACCCCTGGGTTGGTGATACTGGGTACTATAACAAAGCAAACTGAGCAAGCCATGTGAGAAAACCAGTAAGCAGCACACTTTATGGCTTATGCATCAACACTTACCTCCAGGTTCCTGCCCTGTTTGAGTTCCTGCCCTGCCCTTCCCTTAGTGAGGGGCTGTTACCTGGAGATATAAGGTGAAATATGCTCGATCTTTGACAAGTTGCTTGATCGTGGCATTTTATCACACCAATAGAAACCCTGACTAAGATAATGAATCTGTTCGAAGAGATAAGGAAACATGGAGACACAGATGAGAGTGTGTTGAGTAATAACTGAGTTATTGCATGACTGGAAAACAGGGAGTAGTTATTGAGGCTAGCAGAAGTTTGGGAGGCAGATGGAAGACCATTCAAGAAGGATATTGGACACCAAATGAAGCTGGAAATCTACTCTTGTGGGTACAAACAAGCTTCTGAAAGACTTTGGAGAGAAATCGTGCTATCAAAAATGAACTGAAGGGGGGGTCCTCGAAGGCATTGCTCAGTGGTTAAGAGCAGTTGCTGCTCTTAAGAAAGACCTAGATTCAGTTTCCAAGGCCTACATGACAGTTCACAGCCATTTAACCTTTAGTCCCAGGGGAAACAATGACGTCCTCTGATCTCCACAGGCACCAGGCGTCCACATGATATACATTCATACATGAAGGCAAAACACTCACACACGTAAAATAAAACAAAAATAGTGATGAGCTGAAGGGGTTTTGTTTTGGTGGTCATCAATAAGAGAAGCAGAAGAGCTACTTGCTATGAAGAGAACAGAGGCAGAGGAAGAAGAGGGGGAGGGGTAAGGATGAGGAGGAGCAGGTGTGGGGGGTGAGATGAAGGAGGGCCAGAAGGAAGAAGAAGAACCTTCTTCTTTGTACATCTGTGAATGGGATGCCATTTGGATGTAACAAGCATGTCAGGAATTGGTACTGAGGTTGGGAGCAGAAATGAAGCTTAGCTTGATATTCTGCGATGTCCTTGAAAGCAGGAGTGAATGACTGCGGGCTCCACAGGAGCCAGTACATGACTGCTTCCTCCTAGGGACCCCTGAATCATGCCCGTAGCTTCAGTAGCTCTCATGTCCTTGCAGGAGCTAGGCTCCCGGCTGCCTGAGACTTAACAGGACAGAATGGGGCAGCAGGAAGGGAGGAATTACCCAGAAGTGACTTCTGGAGTTTGCCAGTTTCTAGCACCTCATTTCCCCATGCTTCTCCGCCTTGGCCAGAGCTAATGAACCTTAGAGAACAAAGCTGTCTTTTGTTTGTCATTTTGAGGTTTTCTGGTTGATTACGATCTATGCCAGCAGGAGGATAGAAAATCACCAGCAATTCTTAGCTGAGGATCACAGGGCATTTTCATCCCCTTCTGACAAAATGCTGAACTTAATATAAAAAATGCTGTCCTAACCACTTTAGATGAGAGAAACTGTTAAAAGGATTTTTTCTATATGCGTTTCTCTTTTCATCTGAATTGTTATCTTCCCCCCTCCTCTTATCATTTTCTGCTTTGTTTCACACCCCCTGTAAATCAGGTGTCTTTTTTAAAAGAGCAAAAATTGAATTCCTACGTACAGACAGAAACTACAAACGAATCTCACTCTGCATGAGCCCAAGGGAACAACAGCAAAAATAAATCTGCTACCTGGTGACACTTTGAGGTTTGTTTGACCTCATCAGGCCATGGTCTCTCTTTCCCACAGACCATTTGATACCAACCCCCTCTCTCCTCTCTTACACCTAACCTCCATCTTCAAGACTTCTCACTCTTAGTAGAAAAATGAATTCTGTGTTAGCAGCTTTAGACTTCTGGGGGAATATAATTATCTAAACTGGCATGAAGCCAGAACTCAGCTCCCTCATGAAAATGATTCCTTATTAAAGATTAAGTGGTAACAAGTATGTCAACAGCACTCCCAGCTCCAGAATAATTCTGAGCAAATAAGAAAATGGCAACAGTTCCTGTCTTCAGTCTGGAAACCCTCCCCGAGCCTCGCCGTACCCCAGGTGGCACAGACTTCTGAAATTTGTTCAGGTGCTGTATCGTGGGAGCAAGTGCACAGGTGATGGAGACAGCGGGTTCATCCGTGCTGAGGATACAGAGGATGAAGGCCAGGGAAGCAGCTGGTTTTGAGGCAGCCTTGTGCAGCTGGTTGTTCCAGGGATGCTGAGCCAGGCCACTAGGCCTGTTCAATCCAGGCCTCCTTCCTGTTTCCTGTAGCCTCTGCCTTGGCTGACATGGCAACACTGCCCTCTGCTGGGACAGCGCGATCATCACATGCCACCGGCGCTCCCAAGGCCAAGGCCAATAATGGCTGGCAGCATGATGGGGAGCAGAAAGGCTTGACAAGTAAGCAACTCCTAAGGCCAGTTCTTGTGTGGCCAGAAGGTCGAGTCCCCACCTATGACATCTACTGCAATCCAAGCTTTTAGAGTCAGGCAGACAGATTTGCCAGGCATTTGTTATGTGGCCATGGGCACGCTTTATAGCTTTCTAAGAAGTAGCTCAAAGGGAAAGTCACCGACAGTGTATGTCTAATGTAATAACAACTGAGGGTTTACCTCTTAGCTAAGATTATCATACCCCAAGCTTTCCTCGAGACTTTTCTAAGTGTATATTGCTTATCCTAATGTAATTATTAGAAGCACCTTTTAGTTGCTGTGGTTGTTGTCAAATGACCCACACACAGGTGACAAATTATACAACAAGACTGTCCAAGCACAGGGCACGCTAGATGAAACAATATTCAACATAGCATGGTATTATTATGGATATGCCTGTTTATCCTACTACCACCTCACTCCAGGTAACTCGGGCTAACCTCAGACACTCCATGTAACCAAAGATGACCTTGGGCTCTCTGGTCCTCTTATCTCTGCCTTCAGTGTTGTGGGATGACAGGAACGCACACCTGATTTGTGCTGTGCTGGAGATCAAACATTTGCTCTATGTATGCTAGGCCTTTCCACTACCAGTTAAGCTACATCCACAGTGTAAGCATCGATTTTTCAAAAGAACGGGTGTAGAGATAGACGGATGGTTCAGCGGTTAGGAGCACTGGCTGTGTTTCCAGAAGACATGGGTCCCATTCCCAGCTCCTTCCCACATGGTGGCTTATAACTGTGTCACTTCTGTCCCAGGGGATCTGATGCCCTCCTCTGACTCCCAGAGGCACCAAGAAGAGATGCAAAACACAGACGTGCATTCAGACAAAGACAGATGTGCCATTTTATTTCCTTTTCTTTCTGTGAGTCAAGCTGGTTGCTAGTTTCCCTCCATCTAGTGAAGAAAGCACATGACACCATTAGGAAAAATCAATGGCAAAAAGACTATGTAAGGCATCAGAAAAAAAAAACCTTCAGTAGGACCTGAGAAAACCCCTTCATTCTCTCAGTGTAGGGAGCATTATCAACCTTTGCTTGACCCCCCTGTGGGACTGCAGTAGGGCCCAAAAGCAAAGAGTGTGAAAAGACAAAAGTATACAGCAGCAAGGTATCAGGTTCTTGTTTCAAATGAGTTATCAACTACCCATAATTGAATACCTAAGAAAGAAGATAGAAAATTAAACATATATAGGCACTGAGTATATGAATATATTTATTGCTCCAAGTCTAAGAAATGTAGAGAATCAAAGAAATGTCTACTAATTTGGTAGTTCAAATCAGTGACAATGGCCAAATTTTGTTACATTGACATCCCTGAGGGGAAGTTGGCACCAATGCCAGGGTAGCAGCTGATCTGCATGTATATTTACATAAATTTGCATTGGCCTGGTGTTAAAATATAAATGCTGATATTAAGAAAAGTCATTTTCTCCCAGATTGAGGCATCTCAATATAGCACAGCTACAAAGATGCCCACTGGTCTTTTACCATGTATCTGCATGACCTTGAATGAATAATGACCTCATTGTACTGTTTCCTTATCCAGAAATGGGAATTAAATAGCACTCAATGAAGAAGGCTGGTGCTAGAATTAAATGAGCTAATGTGAGTGAAGGACTTAGAGCATGGTGTGGCTTATTAAGCTCTCAGATATTAGCTACTATTATTATCCCAGAGCCTGCCCATTGCCCTTCACCATCAACCCCAGCTATACAGGCTCTACCTTCTCCTTCTGAAGAATCATGAGAGCTGGATATTCAGAGCTAGGAGAGGTCTCAGAACATCTAATCCGTCACTTTCAAATTTTCGTTTTATTTCTTTTAAAATAACCATGGAACACTTTTGGAAAATGAAAGCGTACATGGAAACCCAGCATGAATTGCTGCATAGCATTGTGGTTAAGGAAATGGTCTCTGCAGACAGACAGGCCTGATTTCTAGTCCTAACAAAACTGCTTATTAGCCTTCTGACATGGGGCAAATGCTTTACCTTGGCTTTAAGCCTCTGTTTCAAAAAGGGTACCATGGCAATAGTAGCTGTAAATATTTCATAAGGTTGCTGTAGAGCTCAATGACTTCACAATTATTGAGTGTTTAGTGCAATTCCTGGCACTTTAAAAGGACCCAATAATTACACTTACTCTTGAGATTTAAATCAGTGAAGTACATGCAAGCGGAAGCACTCCGGTGTAAACAGGCAAGAAAGCTACAAGCACTCTGGGGCCTCCGTGTCCTCCTATGGCTGTGTTAAACCTAGCATCTGGAAGTAGCTAACATTGGGAACCCAGATTCAGGATGCTTTTGCCCCTAATCACATATTACATCGATTGATACTTTCTCCTTCCCCTTGCCAGGGTTCTAATTATCACTGGCATTTGCTGGCTATGGTGACCTTCCTTTCCTCTGAATCCAATCTCTTTGAGTTAAACATCTTTACCAGGGCAGATTAAACTAAACAAGATTGTATGGCAACTCCTGCCGTTGGTTCCCAATGGTGCAAAAGTGTCCTGAACTTGTACTTCTTACATCCCCTGCTCTCTTCCTGTGCTTTGCACAGCTCACAACCAGTGGGAGGATGAGTCACTTTGTTAAAAATAAAACTGCTGCCATCTTCTCTCTTTGTTCTTGATCACTGTGGGCTGGCACTTAGCCACAGACAGAAAGTGGGCAGCCGGTAAAGCTGGCCCATCGTAGCATTGCTGCTACCTGTGTTCACCTAAAACACAGGGCCATGCTCACTTTGGTGAAGATTGAGGATCTGTGTTACATTGGCATAATCATTGCATTAGCCAAGTTCCAGAAAAAGAGGACTCTGATAAGCCCAGAGTTTATTTGAAGTTGCAGGATTTGGAGGATTGCCGATCAGAAGACAGCCAGTAAACATCATGTAGCCAAAACCCAGAATAGTATAGTAACTCGTCAAAGGTGACATGGTTATGAGTAAAATAAAGCAAGGTATGGATCAAGGGTTCCTGGCTGCCATAGTTAAAACTGCAGAAGACTACTGTGCTTGCCCTATTTGCTAGTCCCGCTCTCTAATGCTTTATATTACCAGCGTAATTTAATCCTCAGCACAATTCTATAAGGTAGGCATTGTTATTTTCCCCAATTTTGAGAAGAAACAACGAAAATGTACCACTGTACATTTCTTAATCCAGCAGAAGGTGAAAAGCTACATGAATTAAGTTCACTTGAATAAAGAGCACAGTCTCAAGTACTAAATCAGTAATGTTTGAGAAAGAAAGGGGGTGTTTATTCCTGGATGTGTGTGGTAACAGAACAGGACCATGCCTTGGTTACTGAATCTTCATATCTTGACACATGATCAGAAATACGCCCCATCAGTATCTGTGCAGTTCATATGTTATGATGCTTCTCCCAAGGCCAAGCCATCCCTTCAGATGTAAAGTACTGGTGATCTCTCTGTAACTGAGGTCAGGGCCACTTCTTCTGGCTATGTGGAGTAACATCTTTTCATATTCTATCAGATACTGTCTATACAAATGATTTATGATGACAGGAAGTCAGTGGTAGGACCTAACAGAATGTCAGTGGATTCATGATACAAGTCCCAGTTCAACTGTGTAGCTTTGGAAAACTTTCTCATAGTAGTTGTCTTCATTTAACTAGTGCAAGGAAGCCAAATTATTTTCACTAAGGGTTTGAAATCTCACAGTTTCATGAAACAAGGTTTCTCAACAGAAGCCATTCAGATGGGGAATTCTTCATTGTCAGGACCTGTCAGGCCTTGAATGAATCTTTGTGGTATCTTCAACTTCAGTCTATTAGATGTCATTAGCTCTTCTGCTGTGACAAGTGAAAGAGTCTCCAAACATTGTCAGTGTCTCCAGGGACCAGAATGAAAACCTCTAGCATGAACCACCCAGGTTCTGCCCTAGCTTTGACATTACCTTGCTCAGTGTTTCCAGTTAGGTTTCCTGACTTCCTGTGGGCTCTTGCCTGTAAAAGGAGAGAATTGCTGTATTTACTGGGGATGACTGAGCCACGAAGGCGTGGGCTCCAGCTGTGATCTTTTGCTACCTGTGTGTGGGGGTGGAGAAGGGAATTGGTGCTGGGTGCTTTGATGCAGGTGTACATCTGTCAGATTGTGGAGGTGTGGAGGGTATATTATGTTCACTGTTATGATATAAACCTCACAAGGCATGTTTGTAACAAAAAGAAAATGAGATAAGCCTCATTTCCGACCACCTCCCAGTCCCAAGGGTGTGTACTCCCAGGACTTTACCTTCACTTTCATCTTCTGAACCCTGAGTAACTCCGTGATAGATCCTAGATGGGCAGATAGATAGGCAGACAGCTATGATAGGCAAATGAGAGATAAATAGATGATAGATGTGCACATCGATTTTTAAACAGAGATCTAAAAAGTTCTAGATCTATATTTATCCACTAAGAACAAAATGACAGGGGTGGATGATGGGTAGATGGATGGAGGCTAGACAGACAGATAGATGATAAACAGATTTGCATTATCTTTTCCTGGCTAATGTAAACTAATAACTGTCAGCATCACCAACAATATTTCCATATTACTAAGTCAGTGAAATAAAAATGCCAGAAACTATCCTTGCTTCCAGTTTCAGTCATGATTTCTCTGATGAGAGTTGAGAATTTGGTTCTATATTTCTCAGTCCTATGACAATGGGCTTTGCCTTTTGGACATGATCATAACATGCTTTCTACCTATGCCTCAGATTCTGATTAAGCTCTCCGTAGGTGAGAAGTGGAGCAGCCTCCTGGGTACTCAGACCTCACTCTTGCTTGGAAATGATGCTTTTCATGGGAAAATCTTAATGTCTATAGATTGTATGCAACCTTGCCTGAACT